GAATGGGTCCCAGCGAAATTCTACATTGAATCTATAGCATTAGGAGGAAAACTAGATCTCTCGTCATCTCCCAGGGGCCTTGAGGGACAACATCCTTCACCACAAACGGGAACCACCCAGCTCAGCCACCCCAGCTCTCACCCAGTGCACGCAAAAGGAGCGTGCGAAAGAACACAGCGAGCTAGGCGACGACAGAATTTTTCCAAATGTTTGCTCAGGTTTCTGAAAACCACACACACACACACACTCTTCTTTCTCCTCCCTTCCTCTCCTCTAGGAGCAAGGAAGGAGCAGGACTGACACCTTTTAAGTACAACATGGAATACATACACACAGGCAGAAAACCTCCAGCGTCCCTCCCTCTTACAAAAGCCACTCGAGATGGGTGCTCTCGTGAGCTGCTTCGCTGAACTAGCTCTCTCCCAGCCTCCCAGACCCAGAATTCGGTCATTTACCCCTGTCAGCGTTCACAGCTGGAAAAAGGGGTTATGGCCTCTCCTCTGCACGGCCGAGGGCGAGGAGGGAGCCAATCCGCATGTTTATTTGTTGTCTGTGCAGAATTCCTGCATTCCTTCCCTTGTTTACTCATCTGCTCTCAGGACATACTCAGACCCCAGCAAAGGGCTTTTGGGGCACCACATTCCCCCACGAGCCCGGAGCTCTTGTTGGAACACAGGACAAGCATAAAGCAGGAGGAGAGAAGCCAGCAAATGGGTTATTACAGAAATATGTTTTCAAGGTGGTTGGGTAACAAGTAGCAGAAAGATCAGTTCTCTCCAGATCTGCTCTCCATAGAGACACATCTCCACAGCTGGAGGTCTAAGGCCCTATTAAAGAGCACATTTGAGCTGACTGCCCCTCAGCTCTTCCCAACAGCCATGTTGTTACCCCCACAGCAGCACCAGTAACTCAACCACCCTCTTTGGCACGGGGCATGTCCGCACTCCTCACGTTGTCCCACAGACAGGTACAAGTCAGCCCACAGTCGCTGTGCTGAGCATCAGTGAGGTCCACACGCACCCCAAGAGCATGACACAACCCTATAAACCTCCTCATCTGACCTCTTTTGGGAGCAGACACAAAGACTCCAGAGAGATTAACGTGCGAGGGATACAGGGCTTCACCACAACAAAACAGAAGCACAACTCATCCCCCCCAAAATCACTTAGCTGCTCAGCTTGGTTCTGACTTAGTCATACCTCGGAGAAGCAAGCTTCACCCTCAAGCAGAACTCGGATGGCTTCTTGGATCCTCACAGGAGTCTGCAAAGCTGACTTAGCAAGCGAGGAGGCTCCGAGACAGAGGAAGCTTGGGCTGACTACCAGGAAGGACAGGCCTTCACCACAGGATTAACCCATCAACTTATTAGCTTTAAACCTACAGGAAAATCTAATTCAGGTGTGAGGAGTCTAAATGCCCCGGTAAGTGCCTGCCACACACCTGTGGTAGGACAGGACTTGCATTGGGGATGCTCCCAACCACATCAGACTCATTGCAGAGGGAAATGAGAACCTGCACCAAACCCGGAGCAAAAAATAACAGAATAACTTTGCTTGGCTGTACCTTCGATGCAACCACTGCCTCTGACAACAAGGTCAATGCCTGGCACCGTCCCCGTGATAAGCGAGTCCACAGAGCAGCGCGACTCTACCCCAGACACACGCAGAGCAGCAGGATTGATCCACCTCATCATCAGCAGGCTTTGCCAATCAATCATTTACAAGCTGCTAAGAGCCAACAGAGCCGGGGCTCGGCCACCGAGCGCTCGGAGCACCGGGGCAGAGCCCAGCGCCCACGGTCCAGCCTCACCTTCCACGCAGTGCTCCACCTCCTCCAAGTTGCGCAGCGTTATCCGCATGAGGCTGGAGTTCAGCATCAGCTCGTTGCGGTGGGCCGGCCACATGTACTGCGGGGCAGGGTTGACGAAGAAAATCCGCGTGTCTCCAGTTGAGACTTGGTTGTCGCAGATTAACGGGTCCCCGAAGCCGCCGATAACCACCTTGTTCCCACCATCCAACAGGATCTCGTGAGTGACGATGTCTTTGCCCTTCAGATAACGCCAGACTCTCACCTTGGACGAGAGGGAGAAAGAGCACGTGAGACCATTTCACAGCTACAAACAATCAGCTCTCCTGGCTGCTCAACTTTTATCACGTTGTCACGAGATGCACAGGAGTGGTCCAGCCCGGCAAAGCCTTCCAGCAGAGCTAATTTCATTAGCTAACCCTCTAAAAGCACAAAACGCGTGGGCGACGAAGACTAAAGCACGTACTCCTCTTCCCACCAAGGCTGCACCCAACTCCCCAGCCCAGGTACTTGGCCCTCCTGGCCCCTTCCCCACACACAGCCCCGTGGGGAGCAAAGGGGGACGAGGCCTCGCGTTGCAAGGGGCCCCTCAGCCACGCCGGCTCTCCAGCAAGCGACAGAGACCCCCATCCTCTTGCACACATCTCCTCCTTGCATGGGACGCACCACCTTTGGTGTCGACACCCAGGATCTGCCTTCCCTTCCCACCTCTCCTCCCGTGGTAGCGGGCTCCAGACCCAGCCAAAGCCCAGTCGCTGCTGTTGGAGGCTCAAAGAGCCTGATGAAGAGTTGCCCCGTGCCAAACCCCACCACGAGCTGCCCTGACTCACCTCCCCAGATGCCCCCAAAACCAAAACAGCCCCCTCCTTCCTCTCCTCTCATCACCAACCCCGGGAAGGGCTCGCCTTCCCCATCCCGAGAGGTGGTGGGCTCCCACGGGATGGCAGAGCACAAGCAGCCAGGCAGAGGTGGGGTGGGAGAAGGGGTGAGCAGACCCCGGCAGCAGCACAGCTCAACTCCGACCAGCAAGGCTGCTCAAGAGCTTCCCTGGCAGAAGGAGAAGCCACTGCTGCTGTTTTGCTTCTGCTGGACACGACCAGTAAGACAGAGGATGAGCTTAGTCAACCTTTTCGCTCTGATACAGCTCAAACCTTTATGCCCACAACAGCCATTTCAGTTGCCACACGACTGGCTACGGCAGGGAACGCTGCTCTCCGACAAGGGACACTGCACTTAGCCAGGGGCAGCTGGCAGAGACTCAACCAGGAAAATAATTCATAAAAAAAATAATTCAGAACCAACCCAGTCCAGCCCATTACTAATCAAGAATTCAAATTCATAGCAGGAGATCCACCCCCAGACGAGACAGAAGCGCGATCCAACTCAGTTGCCGCTGACCCTTCCCATGCACAGGAGCTATGAGCTGACCATCTGCAGGCAGAGGCCATGGGGTCAGGGACCAGATTTGAGCCCCAGCCTTGGCAGAGGAACCCCCCCCTCACTCCCAGGCAGCATCGTTCAAGGCGACAGACTCCAGCTGGGACAGTTCTCCCAGAGATATCCTGACTGGCAACAAAATCTCAGCGGTCAAGTGAGAAGAAAACACTTCTGAATGGGAAAAACTCCCAGAGGAACTTTAAATGGCTGGAAGCCCCCTGCCAGGGAAGGCTACACAGCAAAGGAGAGCCCTGTCCATCCACGGGGAAGGCTCTGAAGAAGGGCACGGGAGCCTTAACACAGGGGCAGGAGGCGGCAGGTGGGTCGGGTGAGGGAAGGAAGGGAGTCTTCTGGCTCTGACAAGGCACTGGGACCCTGGGAAGACGAAAGGCAGAGCAGATAAGTTGCCTTTGATATTTCTACGTGGAATGTTATGTTCCTATAAACGACTGAAGAAAACCTTTGCCTTAGCGGATTTGCTAAAACACATGGAGGATTTGGCTGTTTCCCATTTCCCTTTACTCATCCGAACTTCAGGAACAAAAAGCAGTCCTGGCCGCAAGAGTCAGTCCGGCTCTCCCCCCCGCGCTGTTCCAGAGCAGTCTCCCTGGACCTCCCCGCTGGCTCATCCCCCTGCCCAAAAAAGGCGAGATCTGCCCAGAACTGCCAGCCAACCTCTCCCCGGTGCCACGCTCTCCGCAGCGGGCTGCCCAAAAGCAAACACCCGCACAGGAGGGAAGCAGCAGCCCTGAAACGCATCTTTAGCACGCATGGGACGCTGGGGACACGGTCCCCATCCACTCCTGACCTGTCACAAATCCTGCTGCAAGCCTAATGCAGGGGAAAGCTGGCACAGAGCCGAGCTGGCAAGGTCCATGCAACAGGAACAGCTCATCGGAGAAGCTGCCTGAGGTTTCAGCTTGGAGCAAGGGCGGCTGCAGTGCCTGGGTATTGCCGTGACCGCAGGCATCCCCGGCCCAGCACGCTCCGAGCGCGCTTTATCGTGCTCTCCGCCAGCATCTCCCCTCCTTCGGCAGCCTGAGTGCCCAGGCACCGGCATTCTCCAGCTGTCTCCATCGCCCAAAGAGCCCTTCAGCACACGGTGCCAAGCACCACAGCAGTCGGGGAGGTGGTGGCTCGGAGATAAGGGGGTTCTTGAGCCCCTCTCTCAAACAGGCACGCACCTATGTACTTTAGGAGTCCAATTCCGAAGGGAACATGAGGGGCACAGAAAGGGTGCTGCCATGCTTGTGGGGACACGGGTCTCTCCTGAGCTTGGGGGACACCGGGGCTGGCCGGGAGGCAATCAACTGTTTGCCCTGCAGCTCCTGTGCTTGACATAAGGGTTGCGGCAGGGAGACTTGTTACAGCTGAGGAGGAAGGCACAGAGCAGACATCCCACTCTAGAATGATCCATTTTTCAGTTATCTGCAGCTGCAGCCACCGGCCTCTGCCCTGCACGGCCCTTCAAGCGCACTGCGTTCCCGTACGAGCTTCTTTGAGACCATCCAGAGAGAGACTCATGCTCTTTGCCAAATACCTCCATCCCATTGCTCAGTGACCACAGAAGACACAAAGATCTGACACTGCAAAGCTCAAATAAGAGGGTAAAAAGACATTGGGGGCTAGGGAGAACGCAAGTCTCATGACCTTTAATCAATCGTGTAATTTAAAATAAAATAAAAAATAAAGCTCCAGAATTTCAGGGGTGTCAGCTCAGCACTCTCTCATTGCTGATCAAGAGGCTTCAAGGTCCACAACGATCTCAAGCCGAACTCCCACACACTGTCCCTGCCAAGACTAAGAGCTAGAGGGCCAGGGCAAGGGAACAGGGCCATTCCCACCACCACAGCAGCACGCAGGCTGGGGCGAGACCCTCCTGCTCAGCACCAAATTCACCTGTCAAGCAGAAAAAGGGAATGAAGTTAGTGTTGCTGTACTCTACAGGTGCAACTGAAGGTTCAGAACAAAGTTTAGGAGTGTATTTTATTCTCAGATCCTCCTACTTCTCACAGCTTCTCCCAAAGGTGTAATATTTGCCCGCTTTGGAGAAGGACTCTGGCCTCGGTGGGTGCCAGCTCCCACCCAGCTGCTCCTGTGGTCCAAACAGCAGGTGACGGAGCCCTGGCCCAGGCTGCCCAGGGAGGCTGTGGAGTCTCCTTCTCTGGAGATATTCAAGACCCACCTGGACAAGGTCCTCTGCAGCCTGCTGTAGGTGACCCTGCTTCGGCAGGGGGTTGGACTAGATGACCCACAGAGGTCCCTGCCAACCTCTACCATTCTGTGATTACTGAGGTAAGCCCTGTCCTCCTGCATACCCGAGATCAAAAACCATCCCAGGTGCAAGCACCGCTGTGACAGCTCCTCTTTGGAAGCTGTGCACGCCTTCGCTGTCCCCAGACGCGGAGAGGTTAGCTAGAGACGTTGCACCCACGTGCTCTCGCACTCATCTGTCTTCCAGCACGAAGGGAGTCAAGCTCCCCTTGGGCCAGCGCTAAGCAGTGCCACAGCAACCCAAGGACAAGCAATAATTAACACGGGGGCTACCATCCTTCCCCGCGCGGTCCAAGTCCAAGCTGCTGGGCAGGGGTGAGAAGAAGGGCTGAGAAAGCAACGCCTTCAGAGCCGTTCGTGCAGAGCCTGCTTCAGCCCGAGAAAAAGCCTACTTGAAAAGCCACCTGCTCGGTTGTACACAGCCCCGCCAGCACGAGCTCTTTTCTTGAGAGAGATGGCAGTCAACCAGCAAACAGAGGGAGCTTCAGATGGCAAGGAACAGTAGCTGCGACAGGCAGCTTTCCTCCCTTCCGATCTTGCAGGAATCCCGGTGTTGACACAGAGACATCTGCTCCACCACATGCCACCGGCATCCTTCAAAGAGCCAGTCTGGGTCCACCAGCCCCCTTGAGAGAGCCAGTCCGGGTCCACCAGCCCCCTTGAAAGAGCCAGTCTGGGTCCACCAGCCCCCTTGAAAGAGCCAGTCTGGGTCCACCAGCCCCCTTGAAAGAGCCAGTCTGGGTCCACCAGCCCCCTTGAAAGAGCCAGTCCGGGTCCACCAGCCCCCTTGAAAGAGCCAGTCCGGGTCCACCAGCCCCCTTGAAAGAGCCAGTCCGGGTCCACCAGCCCCCTTGAAAGAGCCAGTCCAGGGCCACCTCCAAACACGGCATCACCTCGGTCGAGCCGAGGAGCCTGGGTGCTACAGAGCACAGCTTTCAGCACGAGCCTCTCGCTTCCCCAGCCAGGACCCAGCTGTTCCTCCAGCATTTCGCAGCAGCTCCCTGCGGTTGTGCTTCTGCCCACAGTCAAGTTCAGACACCTTCCCCGCAGCCCCACCAGCCCCACCTCCCCTTCCCTCGGCAGCAGCCCCCAGGGGAGGGCCCTGGT